AGCACATATTACATGTAGTGGTGACACCCAAATATCTGTTCTGCCAGCTCCAAGATATTTATCAGTGAGAAGACTGAATGACAAATGGAATTTTCAGCTCTGTACAGTTCTGAAAGGCAAACAAAGGGAAACACCAACTCCTGGTTGTATCAACTCACCCTCTCTATTGACAGGACAGGGTTACAGCCATCATGGCCCCAGCAAACACTCGCCAACCAAGAAGAGTGAAAAACCATACAGGCAGATTTTGTCATGGCACATTACACCAGCTGAGGTTTGTTGCCTCTTAGTGATACTTATCTCAAGTTCCTCTGCTACCAAGTTGCATGTTCTGAGAAGCTAGAAGCCACTGCATCACAGAAAGACAGATTAGACCGCTTATCTGCTGCTGCCACTGGAACAATGTAGCTGACAAAAAACCATAATCATAGAACTTGGAAAAGGGTGAGGTACTACTACTGAAGAGAGTGCTGTCTCTCAGATTCTGCGATCCAGACATCCAAAGTAAATGTTTTCCCAACAGTAACTCTTCCCTAATCCCAGGGCTTCAGGACACAGTACAGAGCTAGCAGAGCCCAGTTCAGTTATGAGGATCATTCACGTTTCAGCACCTTTGTACTAAGGGCTGAAAGAACCTTAAAAGGTGAGAAAGAAGGGGTATATTACACAAGTCAACTGATTTGCTGAGTCAGCAGTGTGTTTGAGATTCAGGGTCTTAATACTGAAATACCAAATACGAAATTCACCAATGTATGTAGCATAAGTAACTAACTACTGGCAATACACTCCTATTCTAGATGCTCAGCTAAACCTTCACTTACTGGTCCTACTGAAGAAGACAAGGCTAATATTAATGGAAATATTTATAAAAATCTACTACAAATACTTCAAAAGGCTTTGAAGAAGACTAATGCAAAATTTAATTATATAGATCTCATTAAGTTAGGACAACACCATAAACAGGGTCCTGAAGTGAGGGACACAAAGCCTTTCATTCTAGATGAAGTCAGGAAAGGATAATACAGCAAAAGTCTATGGGCAAAACTAAAGAGAAAATACAATCCTTGGAGCAGTTCACTGAAGATACCAGGATTTTTCAGCCTTGGCAATTTAAAGCAACCAGCAACTACTGCAGTGTCACAAAAGTTTTCTTCTTATGCTTACTGTCAATACACAACTTTTCTAAAGAAATCATTGATGCCCTTTGTAAGGCTTGAAGGGAGCCCTGTTTGACAATCAATATTCAATTCCATTGACAATACACCTCTACTTCCACTAAAGCACTGCTTGAATACACTGTTTCATCTTTCTCAACTGGCCAGATTACATCCATCCACATAGTACCTCTTCATTGAGTTCCTCCCCCAGATTAAGGGAGTTTACCTGTACCGAGGGCCCTGTTGAAATTCTGCACCAATCCTTTCGCTTGCATTTTACAGCATTTCCCCACCTGTATCCCCATTCTTTTGCTTGCTGTCACTGTATAAAATCTGTGCTAAGACTCCTGCCATACAACCTCACATCTTACTTTCATTTTGCACAGGCTGCCTCTGGTCCTGCTAGAGATAAGGAAAACTACACTCACGGGGGTCTGCAGGGCACAACTACTGTTATGTACAATGAAAGAACAAATGGGTTCAGACACCAAATAAAGCTTTTGATAGAATTTTGTATACAAGCTGGACATGAGTGACACTCCATTTTCAGCTTTAGAACAGTCCCTACACCTTGCTTCTTTGAAATGCAAGCCCATACCTTTTTCACTCCTGGATTATGAAGTACAGGAACAAGCTGCCCAGGGAAGTGGTCGAGTCACCATCCCTGGAGGCATTTAAAATGCACGTAGATGTGGTGCTTAGGGACATGGTTTAGTGGTGGATTTGGCAGTGCTAGATTAACCATTGGACCTGATGATCTTAAAGGTCTTTTCCAACTCAAACGATTCTATGGGATGAAAGTTTATTTGAAGTTCCACTGACTCTCACTACCTGACCTGGGCAGATTGTTACAGAGCAGCAATTACTGCAGGCAGATCTGAAAGAAATACCTCTGTCCGACATTGTAGCTCCAAACGTAACTGGTGGTTGCAGCCATTCCTCATCAGCCACACTCGCTCCTTTTGTTAGGAAAGGAATAAGCACATTCACATCTGTCAATCTGAGACATGTGCCAATATATAATTTTGTGGTGCTTTGCTACCAGATTTGCCTAGAGATTCATACATTAATATGGTCACAAGCTTTAAACCTACAAGTCTTCACACAAGAGCCTACAAGTGATTCCTGTCTAAAGGTCTATATTGCCCTCTGTACGACTGCATACTCCCTCTTTGTTACTCTCTTCTCTGACGAAGAGTGGGTTCCCTACTGCATTCCAGGGCAAGGTACAAATGTTCTCATTCTCCTATTTCTGCAAGAGTGCTACTTCAAAATCTCATTAGAAGCACCTGTTTGTAAAAGTCCACAAATATCTTCAGCAAGGTTTCAGAGACCTACTGTGTTTAACAAGCTTTGCCCAAATCTTTTACTATCTGAACTATGGGGAGCATCAGATGATTGCTAAACTTGGAAGCGAGAGTTTCAAAAGGTCAGTACAAAAGCCAAGTATATTACTACACCTGGCAGCAGCACATCTTGAATTTTCCCTTAGTTCTAAAAGTTGACACGAGAGATCTAGGCTTCTATCACCCTTCTACCCCTGCAATTTAATAGTTTCCTTCCAATATATTCAGCCTGAATAAAGTAATCTCATCTGACTAAAAACTTGCTCTCTTTTGACAGAAATATCAAAGCTCAATCACTTGCTTCAGAAACCTAGAAACGCACATGCTTGTTACATGACAGAAATTACTCTCCTTGGTAACAAGAATCCTCCTTGCAGATCCCTCCAGTTAAAAGCTACCAATTCTTAGAGCTGCTTTGTACCTCTGCTGAAGTGGGAAAAGGCCTGTATATGTCCTCCCATATACTCTGAATATGAGAGAACATCTTGTTTCAGGTCTAGGCCATCTCAAGTTACAAACTTATTATATCCCTTTTAGCGTATTATAAGCTCATAAGGCTTAGAGGAGACCTTATCACCATGTTCTAGTACTTAAAGGGTGGCTACAAAGGAGATGGAAAATGCCTTTTCACAAGGAGTTAAATGGAAAAGATGAGGGGTAATGGGTACAAGTCACTCTTAGGGAGATTCCGATTGGACACAAGTGGAAAATTTTTCACAATTATAACAATCAGCCATTGGAATAATCTCCCCAGGGAATTCCCCAACACTGGACACTTTCAAGATTCAGCAGGTCCCCAACATTTTTAAGACTCACTTGGACAGGGTGCTAGGCCATCTTGTCTAGACCATGCTTTTGCCAAGAAAGGTTGGACCAGATGATTCTTGAGGTCCCTTCCAACCTGGTATTCTATGATTCACTGCTCTTTATTCAACGACGACTAGATTAGTGAATTTAAGAGCTATCTTGGAAACAGTAAGTTTCAACTTCTTCCATCAGTCCTAACACAAAAGATGAACCTGTGGCTGACCACCTTTATTTGTGGCATCTCCACAAATGAATGGGTTGGGAGCACAGACCTAGCCTCTGCAACACCATGGCTAGTAGCCACAGACTATGTGTAATAGATAGCATAGCTGGGTATTGTCAAAAAAAAACTGATATACCTTCAAATTTGGTTCTGGAGCACTGCAATGTCCACTATGATCTGCTGTAGACACTAAGGGAGTCACAGGGCTTACGCACCAGCACTTAAAATAAAGGACGAATCTTTGACACCATTAAGACCATAGGATTTAAAATGTACCTACTGCACTACTTTCTACTACATGACATACCCAACTGCTTTTAGGGTTGCCATGATAGTAAGTGTTCCACGGTATTTCAGGAAAATGAGGTCTGTTCACACCTGAAGTCACCAGCTACAGACCACCTCTGTCCCTTCCACTACTAGCAGGACTACAAAGCACTACTAGTCTGTTTCTCTCAGTTAAGTGCCAGGTTTATTCATCTTCAGGCTACTGAGGAGTTTCCGCACCTGCAATTTCCCTGACTGCAGGTGAAGCAAAAGTAGAAGTTCCTTCAGAACCTCTACACATGCATCTTCAGAACTACTGAGGCAGCCAAGCCTCAGGGACTGAGGAAATCCCCAATCACAGGGGTATAAGGTCTTGTGATAAGGTCTGCACAAGGACAGCTGCAAGTCGAAGTTCACTTCCTTCCAACTACTTCCTGCCAAAGTCTTCACTTCAGTAACTTATAACTGATACTAACTTCCAACTTCATCAGTCACACTTAAAGGCAGGCAACAAATAACAGGCAGTAGCAGCAACAGATCAGTCCCTGGTCCTGGAAGGGTCTATTAGTATAAACACAGCAAGATTACCACTCCTATCTTTCAGCTCCATGGGGAACACAAGTCCTTGCAGACAGCTAGGTACTACCTCCAGACTAAAACTTTGAAAACATCTCTTCTTCCTCCATAGTCTACAGTAACCATCTTCATTTGAGTATAGGAATAGTAGTATTATGCGCCTGTTTCAGCACCACCTCAGAAGAAACACTTTTAGGAACCACCTGGATCAAATATCTGTCCTACTATTTTCATCTCTCTCAAATCAAGTATAGACACTAACTTGCCACTCAGATCTCCATAAAAGCTTTTTTACTCATCTTCAAAGTAATACTTCAGAGCTGTTACATCACTTCATCTAACTCAGTCTTTCTCTCGCACAAACTATTAGACAGATCAAGGTTTGCTACAGTTCTCTTGCAGTAGTTGCCATTGACAGTGTAGTTATAAATCTGCTGTCGGGCCTAAGGCCGCCAATACTGTTGCTGCAGTTAGTCTTTTGCTGCTCAGAAATTCTTGTTGCCTAGATAACAGCAATGCAGGACAGCTGGAATTCAGGGGAAGGGCAGAAGAAGAGGAGAACAACAGCAGCCTTTTTTTTTTTTTAAATATGTAAGTTGGAAAAAAGAAATTCAGAACACTTACCTGTATGGACTGACGGAATCCTAACCACACCTCATGCGGCAATTCACTTTCAGGAATTGAAAGCAGTAGCTCAAAACAACTCCTGGAAAAGTAAGAGGCAAGTAAACAAGCTACCTGAACACACTCTGTTGCTACTTTAAATAACATGTGGCACATATTACTTAGCATTCAGATAAGAAATGACAGTAACATTGAAACATGTTTGACTGCACAAATCAGGTAAAGGCCAGAAACAGCCCCAGAATCAGGCATCATATGGAAAGACTGCTCCTTTTCACTGTGCACAGTATTGCTAGGATAAGATCGCAGCTACTCTCATAATCCAAGATAGCCTGTTCAACATGACTCGGGAACGTTGCATTACAGAATTTCTGCTCTTTCCTCTCACAAAGGAATCCTACTATCCATTCTGAGTAAAACTCATTTGACCCCAGCATGGTCTCTCTGCCTAGAGTGAGAATGAAAGCCAGCCTTACCTAACTTAAAGTTTCAGTGCTGACATATATAAGAAAATAAAACTAAAGAACAGCTTGACAGAAGAAGACACATGCATCAGTACAGAAACAGACCTAGAGAACAGATTTCTAACAGTATCCTAAAAGCAACAGACTGACAAACTGTATCAAGAAGTGCATCAGCACAGAAATGGACCCGTAGAATAGATTCCTAGAAACACCTTATGAGTCTTTGATAGCATGGGTTGGGGGAAGCATTCAAATACCTATGCTGTGAACTGCAACAAGTTCAAGAGCTTACCAAACCAAAAGCCCCCCACCCACATTGAAATGCATATCAAAGATGTTCAGATTAAAGTCAAACAGATCAAATTCTAAATTTCCCAGTTCACTAATTCAGAGAGCTGCTGTATTTGTGCAGCTCAGTTACCTACACAACACAGGTGGAGAACATCCCCTTATTTCCTCATTAGGCCAAGCTCCTGATTAAAAATAGGACACTAGTCACCCAGTCTTTATCTTATACCCATGAAAATTTGTTACATCTCATTTTCAACTGTGTCAACGATTTAGGTTAGTATGAGTCAGCCCCATCACAGTGACATGTGAAGTTCTGCTATGCATCAGGTTTTCCAAACGAAAATTCAGAAAAGTGGGAACAGTTCAGAAGGCTTCAACATCTCTGAAATATCCAGCAAATTCCATACATAAGTTCAGATTGCAAAAAGAAGGGGGGGAAAGCAAGACCTACTTGATATTCCCTCATTTAGACCATAAGTCAGTGCTATCCCTTTTCAGAAACCAAAAGGGAACACCTGTATGTATTTAGCACATCCATCTCATTTCAGGGAAAAGTCTTGGAGAACAAGAATCACTGTTTTCTAGAGACAAAGCAATGGCAGGACTACTGCCTATATTGTTCTCAAATAGGGGCTATCTAACCTTGACTGGACACATGGATTACCTAAACCCCAACTGCTGCACAGAACAATATGACCTAATCAAACTAAATGTCTAGAGATTCACAAGATTTACAGACAGCAAAATAGTTGTCATAAATCAGGACAATATAAGGAAAGAAAACCAGTCTAAGACTCCATGTATAATAAATGCACTGAATAATTGCTACAAGCTACACCTACATTGTTAGGTAATTCCAATTTATGCTATTTTTTCTCCAAAATCTCCACTCCCAAATATTAAATAGAAGACAGGACAACACATTCAGTCTTACCATAGACAGAAGAGCTGAATCTAGAATCTCAATCATTACTACGCCCATGAAAAAGTGGGCAACAGGATCACCAGATATTCCATCTGTCATAGGTCTCAATATTATAAAATAATCAGGACTCACTTTTCCCTTCTACTCAAGCTCGGCAATACAAGTTATTTTACCAGTCCAGATGTCTAGACCCAGGCAGTTGCTACTAGACTATCAAAAACAACTTTACAAGTCTCACAGCAGCTGAACTCTATTTTAACACAAGCAAAAAAAACCCCAAAAACCCACCTAACTAAAAAAATCACTAGGTATGTGTCCATTTGCAAACTTCACAGTCAATGTGCTTTTGAAAAGTATTTCGATGCACACCTCATTTTATTTTCAGACTTAAAGTCAACCAATCCTATCTACTTCCACTCTTTTAATTCCTGGAAACAATTTTTTTCTGGAATATTACTTTTCATATGTATGACATTGGTTATATAAAATACCAGGTTTAAACAAAATGGCAAAGCAAGGTTTGACAAATAATTTTTCTGTACTCAATCTGTAAGGTGCTACCTGGACAGTGAAAAAAATGTGAAATTAGATTTTCAAAGCATTGTGTATACACAGTGAAATGACAGTCTATGAAAACAAGAGGGCTGAATTTATGTCTCAAGAGTTATCATCTGTTGTAGTAACACAGGACTGAGCTGAACCAAGAACTGTAAATTCTTTTCTTGTGAGTCCTTAAGTCTTCCTCAGGATCCCAACACTAAGCACTCTACTTCGGAAATCACTCCACAGGAAATCTGGAGCTCCAGGTGTATAGACACCATGTAAAACAACCTACAGCACAACTGCAAGAGTAATATCCAGGATATTCCAATTAAGTTTTCTGCCAAGGAAATAGGATTAGAACTCTAAGTCAATTGCCTAAGTTTTTCTTATAAGAATTGACACAGCTGCATAAAGACTAGCCAGCAGGGCAGAATGGCCATTTAGCTTAATTCTTCCTGTTGGTCCTTATTATACAATACTTGAAAACACACCTCTATCCCTGAAAGCTCATTTCTTTCTTTATTGTAATGCAACTAAACGGAATTCAGGTATCATTACTAAGACCACAAATGAGAAGACCAGAATCACTTCATGAAGTCAAGCCTTTCTACCCTGCTCTACCAGAACCACCACAACACCTATCTATACAAAGCTCAATTCCAAACTTTACAGTTTATTTACAAAAATTGTGATTAATGGGTGCTTGAATGCTTCCATTATCAAAAAAAAAAAGTTCTCAAACACTGAACTTCAAAATATCTTTTAGGAGAAGGTGTCCTAGTTTTGAATTTCTTTATTTTGGAAAGAATAACCCTAGGTAAAAATCAACACATTATTTGCACACAATTATTCTGTAATCACTTTATACCTCATTCATTATTATTTTAAGACAGAAATTAAAAGAAGTAACTTTTTCAAAGCTTTCAAAATTGTGTTCATCTTTAGATTGTATTAGAAAACTTTTCTTATCCTAAGCTTCTTAGAGTTAAAAAGATGACTAATTATACATTAGATGATCAGCAG